ATCAAAAGAAAAAGAAAGAAAAATACTAAAGAAAACAATACCTAAATGAGTTGCCTCCCATTAAGCGCTTTTGTTTTAAGTCGTTTAGCTCGACTTTTGGTGTTGGACGTGACTTATTCCAATGAAGAAGACCTTGTCCTGAGACAAGTCTTTTTCGACATCTCCTTGCTTTGCTTAGCAGGTTCTTCGTCACTCCAAAGTTCTTCTTCAAACTCTTCTGTTGCAGGACGTTTTCCTGCTTTGCTGTTGTATAGAACAGCTTCTATGAAGACATCTTTGTCGATATTAGCAAATAAAATCCTCCGGTTTGGCCAGTCCATTATAGCTCCGGAAGTTGCTAGAAAAGACCATCCGAGAATCACTGGATATGTTGCATCTCTCGTCTCGACAATGTAGAAGTCGACAGGCACTATGCAATCTCCTATTCTCAAAGGAATTTCATGAGCTATTCCTTGAGGTGTTGCATTAGAATCATCAGCTAGACTAATCTTTGCTCTAGTCCTGCGCAGGTGTCTAATACCAAGTCTCAAAGCAATTGCCTTGGACATCATGTTAAGACAAGCTCCAGAATCACATAGCACGTTTTTAAACATTTCTCCTCTAATAGAACAAGAGATAAGAAACTGACCTCTTCCTTCTATTTTATGAAGTGTTCGAACAGGTTTACCTCTTCTGGCATGATTGAACAAGTCCTCTATCTCAGGGATTGATTCTTTGCTCTCACAGAAGTAGTGGCTTATCATGAAGTCCTTGCAAGCTCTAGCAAACGTGATTCCTTCAGGCAAATTTTGAACCACATCATTAAATTCATCGAGCTTTTCTTTGCTGATTCTGTTGGTGTAGTGGCTGCACTCTTCCGGTCTTTGGAGGTGGATTGAATAAACAGCAGCATCAGGTGATGTTCTGGGAAAAGTCAGACGTCTGGCCCTCCCAAAGTAGGTTCGAATATCATCCTTTGTCTCCTTGCTGTACCTAAAGAAAACTTGCAAACAACCAAGATGCCATATATCATCGAAACTTGTGTAAAGAGGGATTGATTTCACAAACTTGTTGAATTCAATGAGCCTTTCTCTGGAGATTGGTGTTCCTAATTCCACCATTTTGTCTGGATTCCCTCCTTCTATGAACAGACGATAGTCTTCATCTTCGAGGTAGTGCCCTTCATATTCATCTTCATATGCTAAGACTATATTGCAAGGGAGTACCTTATTTTCTTCTTGAGATGTTTTGGAGTTGATAGCATACACCGTCTGCTCCTGAAGAAGGGTTTTGACCATCCCAGCAGATGTATCAAATGAGTATTGACCTGTAGGAGTTGAAAAGGGCTGAAGGGCATCTGAAGGAGTGCTGGCCGCGGGTAGAAGCTCCACGACCGCGGGTGAAGAGGGCTTTGCCGCGGTCAGGATGCTCACGACCGCGGCTGGAAGCTTGTTGGCCGCGGTCACGTGAGTTCCGACCGCGGGAATGGGGCTCCGAATCGTTTCTTCAGTTTCGTCTACTCCTCTGCCATCTGAACTGATTTTTGCACCTTCTAACTCCGTATTCTCCTCTTTTAGGCTAAGATCTTCGATGAGAAGCGTCGAACCATTCGTTTCACATCCTTGCATAAGCTTTTCGACCTTCTTTTCGATTTCGTTGAGGGTATAGACTACTTCGTCCATAGTTGAGTCTATTGTCTCTGCTTTCTCTTGAACCTTGTGTACTCCATCCCAAATCTCTTCCACATAGGAATAGGTTTGGTTGTTGTGGTAGTTAATAGTCTCTTCTGCTTCACCAAGTTTGATCTCTAAGGTGCGGATGCTCCAACCGGCTTTGCGAATGCGAACTTTGTGTGCTCCAACTCCTTCTTCGATTGCTTTCATCCTCTCCTGGACGGTTTCAGCACCTTCGTTTAGCTTGCTTTCGACGGTTTTGACTTGAGCTGAAAGATCTTCAAGCTTTCTGTTAAAGAGTATTGACAAGTCGTCAATTCTCTCGTCAATTGTGGATCTTGCTTGAACGTCGAGTAAGTGCGAGACCGCCAATTCTAGTAGCTCCAATCGGTGAATGGGTTTGACGTTTTCATTCTTGTGAGGCAACCGACGAGCAGGTTGTTCAGGGTTGGCCATTTGAGGTGCGCAGGGTTCCTTCTGGGGCGTTCTGTTGTCTTCGCTTTGAGTTTCTTCGTAGAGATCGCGTAGATGCTTCTCTCTGCGTCTTGTGGCTTGAGGAGTGTTATAGAAACCTTCCTCATTTTGTTTATTTCGATTTATAGGATCCATATCTTCTGAAATGGAAACAAAATAACCGAAAAAATGGAAAGTTGCAGAAAAGGGGTTCTAGAGTCGATTTACTAACCTTTCTTGGGGTTTTGCAGAAAAGAAAATGCGTGCCTTCCCCGGAAACGGCGCCAAAAAATTGATGGTGATCCTGATGTGTGGTGTCGAGGGTTGTCAAGTTTTACCCTAATTGAAATCAATAGCCGCAAGTGCACAGCTGATCGATTGTAGTACTTAGGGATCGAATCCACAGGGAAGGATGATCTTTTACTGCAAAAAGCCTTTGAAATAAGTTAAAGTAAAGAAGTCTAGAACAAAAACGGTTTAGTGGAGGTTTGGTAGTGTGTTTAAAATCTAAAAACGAAATCTTAAAAGAGAATACGGAAATTAAATGGCGTAATAACTAAACTTAACGAAAATAACTAAAAATGATAAAAACGGATATTCTAATGCTTAAATGAAAATGAACTAAAAAGGAAAGACATATTGAATTAAAGCTTAAAGAAAATCGGTGTAAAACAATGGAGAAGAAAGCGTTGGGGTTCAGGGAAGTTTTCTCAGGGGTACGAACGATTCAAAACATTGCTAGAGAGGAAATTTTGTAAGATCTTAGCTTAAAATTTTCGAACTGGAGTCACGGACGTATGAATACGCCACTGTCGTGATCATAGACAACTATCTCTCTCAACCCTGACCAGTAGGTTTCCACTCTGGCCCTGGAAGAGAAGAGATGCATTATGTATAAGACTCGTCCTAATTCACAAATCGCCCATAGGTAGGTTTCCACTCCTATGTTTGTTTTGCTCTCCCAAACTAGATCTGATACCTGATGAACACTTTCGTGTCACCAAGCATCTGGATCAGATTGTAGTTCATGACGCTACTCTCATGCAGTAAAAACGAATTCAGAAGAAAAAGTTCTAAGATTCAGCTCAAAAGCCAATGGAATCCTCACCGAACATATAAATCCCCATCGAAAATCCCTTAATCCCAACAATAAAACTACTCAGACATAATGAACGAAATCAAAGACATAATATTAAGAAGTAGAATAGAAACCGAAATTGAAAAAGAAAGAACAAGGGTTCAAGAGAACAAATCTCTCTCTCCCTAAAAGCTAAAGCAAAAACAATAAGAATATGAAGTAAATATTTCGGTGGTGATAGGTTACACGATTTCTAGGGCTCCTAAGACATGTATTTATAGTGCTCAAGACCTCTTTGGACGTCACTTAGGGTTTCTCCAAATGTGGGGTTTAGAAATGGGCTTTTTGGGCTCGGAGGTTGAAGGCCGCGGTCGGGACAAGTGTGACCGCGGTGGATGAGTGGTTTGCCGCGGTCGGGATGCTCCTGACCGCGGGAAAATGCTTGTTGGCCGCGGGTGGAAGTGCTGGTCAACTGGTTTACGGGACATCTTGCTCTTCGCGTATCTTTTGATTGAACCGTTGGATTGCCAAGCTGTAAAGTGCATTGGAAAGCTGATACTTCCATCTTTAAGGTCTCCAAATTTGAGCTGGATCAGACGGTGAGAAGGCCTTCAATCAGGGGTGAACTTCTGACGGTTTGACTCTGAGCTGAAATCTGGTTTTCTATCCATTTTGTTAAGCTTTTCCCTAAGTTTCCTGAAAAGAGTCTTGGAACTACAAATACTAGAAAAACGTGATAAAAGTACTTAAAAGCAATTAAAAACATAGAAATAATATTTCAAAACGATCCATAAAAGTGGTCAAAATACGGTGTTATCAACTCCCCAGACTTAAACTTTGTTTGTCCTCAAACAAAGCAAAAGCCTAAACTGGTTAAGTGAAAACAAAAATAGAGAATGCACAAATCTCATAGACATGAACTGCTAAACTAGGACCAAAGATAGTGCATCAATCCACAACTTAGTCTAGAAAATTCTCACCAATGCACAAGAGATACTAATCCACTTTTTCCGTCATGCAAAACTTAAACAATTTAAATCTTGACGGAGAATTAACAGAGTTAGGTCGGAAATTGTTTTTAGCACAAATGAAAAAGATTAAGGTTGAAATTCAAACTAAAACCACGTTTAAAGATGAACTTTAAATGTTAACATAGATTAAATATGTTAAAGCATTGCGCATAAGTTTACATATACATTTACCATTTTCAGAAAGTTCGAGCCTGAAAAAGCCAATTTTCCGAGATGAGAGAAATATCTCTTGAGCTGCACATGTCCAAATTTCATTGGATAAAAGAGAAGAATGAGAAAAAGTTTGTTTTGGGTACTCATTCTTTTTTTTTTTAACCTGACAAAATTCAGATTTCTCCCATTGAACTTTTAAAAAAAAATCAGGTTTCTCTTATTAACTCTCTAATACTAAAACAACACATTTTAATAATAAAAAAAGGTAAAGACCCATCAGGATCTGGACATGCTCTAAACCCTAGAGAGAAATATGCACATGTCTAAAAATATCCATATATATAAGTGAATGGATCCTCATATTTATTATGCATCTAGATGCCTTCTAATGAATATAAAACTTGTTTAATTAATACTCTATAAGAGATTTATGAAGTGGTTAATTAAGCGTAATTATTGATTTCAAATTCACCGGTAGAAAAGCTAATCAGTGTGTAAACATGCTTGTCTATATATATAGTTACTGTTTTAATATTTCTAACTTCTAAGTTCTAACTCATTGGTAACGTTTGCCTCTGTATCTGTTTGGCTATAAGATGTAATAAGCATATATGTATATAGGAACTTTATGTATATTATTATTACACCAACGTAAAACGTAACTTTATTCCAATATATATGACTCCAACAACGACAACGTGGGACCATGCATTTTCATAAGATTAGATATGGGTGTTGTCAATTACTCTGAACAAAAACCATCTACTACATATATATATTTGAACAACAGATAATAGGACTTCAAGCAAGTGGATATACAGCAAAACTGGCCAAACCACACGCTCCCACGCCTCTCTTGATTCTCATGTAACCATTTTCTCCCCACCTTGGTCCCCACGAGTTCTTCAACAACCAATACTTAGTCCCTTGTTGACTCGTCCCGTAACCAACAATAGTAACCGCATGAGTCAGATTCCTCGGACAGTACTCTCCACCAAATATCCCCTCCGAGTAACTCCTAAACGCAGGCCCTGTGGCTATGGCCACGGAAACAGGCTGTTGAGACACCGCTTTAAGCAATGCTTCCTCGTCATTTTGAGGAACCATTGCGTAATTGCTGATGGTAGCAGCAGCGTAATTGGTTGACGAAGAACATGTTTGTTGTGATGCCTTGTAGGGATAGTTAGCCTCTCTTGTGATTCCTTTGTTTTTGATTATGTACTCGAAAGCATTCAATGCTGCCCCTCCTTTACATCCATTGTTGATGCCGTTTCTGCTGCAATCAACCAGTTGCTGCTCCGACAGCGATATAAGCTCTCCTTTCGCTATCTTCGTTATGCCTTCTACGGCTGCCACCGCCGCGAAAGCCCAGCAACATCCTGATTTTTCATAATTTATATTTATTTATTAATACAGTATAAACTTTTTAAATTAATATTTAATAAATTAATAAATTCGATTAATTAATAAATTTAATTAGTCCCAAATTTAATTTTTAATCTAATTAATTCTTTATAAATTAATATCTCTATAAATTAATATAAATTAAGAATTTTAACATTATTAATTTATAGAATTTTTACTGTATATTTTCTTTTGAAATGTGATATAGGAAAAACTATATTATATTAATTATACCACATGGGTTTTGGTTCTTAACGGATGTAACGGCTCCCAGCTGTCTCCAATCCATGCTCTCACCGGTTTCACTGACACTTTCATATTTAAACGACGCCGTTTTGTCGGGTGAGTCTCCGATCATACCCTCGGGAATCACTAACCCCATGTACCTCGCCTGAAATTCCTCTTCGGTGAGATCAGAGAACTCGTTGACATCCAACTTGTACGTCATGTTCGTGTTCATGTTGAACCTCTCCACGAACTCCAAGTTCTTCTTAAAGATCTCAAACCTACTCTTCTTTTCAGAATCGTCGGGGTAAACGCGATGGAATTGAGCCATCCATTGCTCATGTTTCTCCGTGGCAGCAGAAACTTCAAAGAAATCCCCACGAGAAGTGGCTCCTGAAGTTGTGGAAAGTAAAAGAATTGCTAGGATCAAGAAAATGATCGAAGCCATTGTTTAAAGAGAAAATGTATGAAATGTTTTTTTTTTTTTTAATATGATTGTTTGGGTTTTATATGTCTTGGTTGCCAAGAAACGAGTATGAGAAGGTGGTGTTTATATAGGGGTTTAATTCGAAGTGTGTATGGTCGCATGTTTTCTTCTTTTGAATATTCTAACGACATTTCTAGCTATGGTTGCCAAATTCGATACGCAAGTAAATGGCCAATCAAATTACATAAAACTTTTTTTGTTTTAATCGAATCTCATGAATCATAACGCGCGAGGCTGGGCCCGTAATTCGATTAGTGTGAGAAGAGCTATTAAATAGTATTTGCGAAATTGACGACGATGTGATTATGTATATGTTATGATGAAGTTAGTTTTTTTACTAATGCAATTATGTATAAATTTTTTTCTAACTTTTACAAAATTGTTCTTACACTTAGATTTGATAAATAATGGGCATATAAAACAGAATTGGTCATACAATGAAAATAGAAACCTTTGTTGTTCTTAACATTAAACCCAAAACAAAAATCTTTGTTGTCGTTAAATAGCCATTTATCAAACATTGATTCGGTGGAGTAATAAAAAAGAAAGAAAATGAATCTGACAAAAAAACAAGAGAGCAAACTTGAAAAAAAAATAAGAGCGGAGACTTGGAAAAAAATAACCAGAACAGAGTTGAAAAACTATTAATGGAGTTACAGTGATAAATAATAACGGAGAATTAGATCCCAATAATCCCTATTGTTATGGTCTAGTGGTAAGAAAGATTGTGTAGAAGGACTATTTCACCCAGTTTTGATTCCCTAAAAAAAATATAATTATGTTGGAAGTGGTTTGGCCAGGTTATAGGTTATACGATAATCACAATTTGACTATCCTAAACATTAGTCGGAAGCATTTCAAATTTGGAACAGATAGTGTGATGGTTCATTTGAATCTCATGGATTTCATGGCCTGTTGATTCGATTTCGCTTGGAACTTATGATGTCAGTTGAATCGTTAAATCAAAGTGAAAAGTTCACTTTATAGCATGTTGCCGACCCGATCAGTCGATAAAACTATATCTGCTTAACTGTTTATTAAAATTTATAACTGATCCAATTTTATTAAAATCGGTAGGATAAATCCGGTCATTGGTCTCTATTTTTGGTTATAATTGGTCAAATCAACTTAATTTTCAGTTGAATAGTTGGTTTAGAATTTTAAATTATTTGATAGGTTCTAAAAAAAACAATGTTTAACTAACTGCAAAAAAAAAGTAAATAAAACCATGGGTTATGGTTCAGTTATTGACTCATCTTCATTCTTTCACAATCATGATTTCAAATAAACGAGTCGGTCGTTCTTCTTTGCCTCTTGGATTCTTCTCACAAGCAGCGGTTGACTGACTAGTCTCCACAGGTTTACCTCCACTCATCTCTTGTATAGTTTGTGTAATCCGTTTTTGTTATAACACATATCATATATGGACTCTTATAGCGGCCCATTAGGCCCATCAGGGCATTGTACTTAACCTAGATTCCCTATGTACTCTATATATACATTCCAGTGATTAATAAAGTTTCTAAGTTTTCACAACACGTTATCAGCACGATAAGACTCTCTGAGCGAAAAACCCTAATAAATTCGGCCACCACCAAAACCCTAAAAGCAAGTCGAAACTTAAAAGACGCATATCTTCCAAACCGTGAGGAACCAGAAGACGATCTACATATCAAATCGAAGCCCTCGACGAGACAAATCTACTGGTGAAAACCGTTTGTCGATCCAACGTCGGACGCGCCCTCACGCACACTTACAGTACACGACGATCAACCGAAAAAAAACCAGATCCGAGTTTTCCCTTCTTCAACCAGCAGCTTCTCCAGTTTTGGTGATCAATCCTTGGAATTTGTAGCGGCTAACTGAGGTCTATTAGCTCCCAGTTTCATTAGCCTGTCATAAATCCAAAGGTGGAAAAGGTATCTTCTAAAACTGAGAGCCATAGAACCTGTTGTTTAAACACTTCAAAACCCTATAAAAAAAAAAAAAATCGATCTCTAATTGATTGAAAGTGTTTGATACTCTGATGATTGATTGATAACTTTTTGATTGATTGTTTAAATTACAAGTTTATGCATGTTCAAAGATTTTAAACTCGTTTTATAAAACCCTAATCTACAAAAACCTAACAAGCTATGTTTATGGCATAAACCTATTCGATTTTCTTCATGTTTAATAAGCTTGTTGCAGCTTATTTGATTGTTGATTCTCTTGCTTGAAACACTTGATTGAATAAACTAAGAAAATCAACCCTAAATCCTAAGCTTGATTCACGATTTTGTAATCTTCAAAATCGTAAGTCATAATGCTTAAACCCTAGTCCTTTTCACGTGATTTCTTTGTTGTCCTTGTGAAATTATTAAAACCATCGACCACAGATCCTATAGATCTCGAAATCACATCCAAAATATGTTTTCCAAACCGTTAAAACCCTAGATAAAACCCTAATCATATTCGGCTCCCCTAGGGTTCCTCCTAAACCGCCTAAAACCGGCTAAACCTGCTTCTCATTAACCGAAATTATATTCGGCTTTAACCGATTAAATCACAGCTATTAAACCGACATCATGTTCGGGGTAACTAAAACCATACCCTTTAAAATTTACTATTTCCGAGAAAGTTCCCTCTAATAGAAAGTTTCCTCATATAAAAACTTTCCTCATATAGAAATTTTCCCGACATAGAAACTTTCTTCATTTAGAAAATTACCCAAATTAGAAACTTTCCAAATTTAGAAACTTTCCTAAAATAGAAATATTCTCAAAATAGAAAGTTTCATCATCAGCATTCAAAATTTTCTCAAAACAATCCCTAACAAAATCAATCTCATGTTTCAGATGTCAAACATTCAGAAATGTGAATTCGAGGCCCTTCACGTCTCCGGGGATAACTACCTCGAGTGGGCCCTAGACATGCGCTTGTTCCTTGCATCGAAAGAACTCGATGCGTGTATTACCGACGGTAACACCGCATCCCGTAAGGGACAGTCTCAGGCGATATGTCACATACGCCATCATCTGGCCCCGAGCCTTAAGCAGCAATATCTCACTCTTGAGAATCCACTTGAATTGTGGCAAGCGCTGAAAAAGCGATATGACCATCAGAAAATGGTCCAGTTGCCTCAGGCAGATTTCGACTGGAAGAACCTTCGGTTCCAGGACTACAAATCCGTAGATGATTACAACAACGAACTCTTTCGTATTGTTGCCATCCGGAAACTCTGTGGCGAGGATGTGACAGATAATGATCTCCTCGAGAAAACATTATCCACATTCAGCACAGAGAATGTTGTGCTCCAACAACAATACCGTGCAATGAAACACACATTGTACGAAGACTTGTTGTCCTGTCTTCTCCTCGCTGAGAAGAATAACCAGCTGCTTATGAGGAACAGCGCTATGAGGCCCCCGGGATCGGCTCCTGTCCCAGCTTCTCGTCAAGAGTCCTACCATGTTCAACCCGATAGATCCTCAGATCACCGCCGTGGACGTGGTAATGGACGTGGTAATGGCCGAGGACATGGACGTGGAAGACGTGGACGCGGACATGGTCGTGGCAACCGACCTAACCTCAGTTATGGTCCTGGTCGTGGTCGAGGCATCACCAAGCCGACCCGCCACACCAACCCAGATCACTCTGCTTGTACCAGATGTGGGATGTTCAACCACCCAACAAAGCAATGTCGCACCCCCAAGATCCACTGCGATCTATACCAGAAGTACGGAAAAGCTCCTGCTGAAGCCAACATGACTCAGCCAGTCGATGCTGCTAACCTGGAAGGTGACGACCTCCTTGATGATGAGAACACCACAAACGAGCAGACCGACCCCATGGACTATGGAACAGCTGATCTCCTCGATTAATTCAATCATCTGAAACTCTGATACAATTTGATTTTGTTCTTTATTTTTTTCATTTTGGGATTTGTTTCATTTTTTTTTCCATTTGCCTCAGACACTGCTTTACTTTATGATTTATCACATTTTCTGAATTCCTCAATACTGAATTCTATCTTCTATTCATAATGAAGCACACCAGCAAATGGAAACCATAGTCGTAGATAGTGGATCCAGCCACACTATCTTAAGAAACAAAAGTTACTTCATAAACCTAACCTATCAAACCGCAAATATTAGCACCATCGCGGGTCCCTCAAACCTTATCGAAGGATATGGCCATGCCTATGTGTTGCTATCAAATGGCACACAACTTGAAATACCAGATGCTCTATATTCTCCTAGTTCGAAGAGAAATCTTCTGAGCTTCAAGGATATAAGACAGAATGATTTCCACATAGAAACCCAAGGTCAAGGGAACAAAGAATCCCTCCTAGTCACTAAAACCGTAGACGGCCATAAACAAATCCTCGAAACCATACCCGCGCTCTCTACTGGACTTTACCATGCTAAAGTCAGTATGATTGAAGCTAATACCACTCTCAAAGCCCGGTTTACTGATTATACTATTTGGCACGACCGGCTCGGTCATCCCGGTGCAAATATGATGCGTAAACTAATTCAAAACTCTCAAGGGCATACCCTCAAAGAAAACCGAGCTTATCCTCAACACCTCATGTGCACAGCTTGTTCTCAAGGCAAATTGATCACTCGGCCTTCACCAGTTAAAATCTCTAAACAAACACTTCATTTCCTAGAAAGAATCCAGGGCGATATCTGTGGACCTATACATCCATCTTCCGGACCATTCCGGTACTTCATGGTCCTTATAGACGCATCGACCCGTTGGTCATATGTTTGTCTCTTGTCCTCTCGGAACCAAGCCTTCGCTAGGTTCTTGGCCCAAATCATAAAATTGCGGGCCCATTTCCCTGACTTCCCACTAAAGACTATCCGCCTTGACAATGCTGGTGAATTTACCTCACAAGCGTTTAATGACTACTGTATGGCCATGGGGGTAACCGTGGAACATCCTGTAGCACATGTCCATACTCAAAATGGATTGGCTGAATCATTCATTAAACGCATTCAATGGATAGCCCGACCATTACTCATGAGATCAAAGCTCCCGGCC